CCAAATCTTAATCAACTCAATTTAATCCTAGTACTGTTTAGAACCTCAATATGTATCAATCAAATTGTTGATCTTGCTTAAAAATTTACACATTTCTTGACAACTAAAAGAAAAAGAATCATATAAAAATTGAAGATAATTACACTTATCAAATAGAAGAAAAATCCTAAAATCCACTCACGTATTGGCCTGCCTCCTACTCCAATCTAAATATTAAACTTCTAGTGCCAATATTTCCTTTTCAAACAGTTCAATTATTCTCAAATTTCACATATATGTAGCAAATCAAGTCTATTATTCTTATAAAAATTTTTATTCCTAATTCAATTAATAAATTGCTAAAAATCTTAGAAATTCTAACTATCCATCAAAGTCCAATTTTTGAAACCTCAACCTACTTGAAATTCAATAACCTTCAATTTAATTATTTGATCAAGCTTAAACTTATAGCATACACTTTAGACAACTATTTTCATAAGTCTTCAAAATTTAAACTGTAGATCTACTACCAAACTTACAAAATTCTCTAAAATGTAATATCCTTTTTATTTTATAAATTCTAAAGTCACCCAAAATAACTTTGACTTTGCAAAGCTCTTGCAAAATTATTATACATTTAAATCACTCATAAAGAATGTCTTAAAAAATTATTTCAAGTTTATTCTCTAATTCCACTCTTTGATGTACAAAAGAATCTCTGAGTTACTATAGATGTATAGTTTTGTGCCTTGGGATCTGATTTCAACTTAAGTTGATAATCATCCCTCTCTAGATATCAAATTTTACCTTTTTGAATGAATTTTTACTAAAATCAACTCTTAACTTCTTTCTACATATGCTCATATCTTTTATTTTTCTAATTTATTTTGTTTTATCTTAATTATGGCCTTATAAAGTAAATAGAAGCCTACTTTGTAAAAAAGTAATATTACACCTTTAATTATACTTTCTTTTGAATTATTGTCTATTTTTTTAGATAATTTGCTATACTATTTGAAGTAAGATCTTCTATTATATAATAATTTCTTCATACTTTTTACTTATTAGTTATATTACATCATGATAGCATAGTTATAAGAACCTCAAGAATGACAAAAAATCAATGCAAATGTGCATCACAAGAAATAACCACAATTTAATATGGATGACAAGGTATGATTAATTCATCACAATATCAAGACTACTTTCCATTGTGACAAGTTGGACTATTGTAGGCTTAAATCTTTTCTTATTTGTGAACAAATCAATCCTATTGCTTATTGTTTACATCTACTAAAGTTTATAAAGATCCATTTTATATTCCTAGTCTCTTCTTGAGCCATATAAGATAGTGAACATTTTGGAAAGAAGAAAAATGCTACCTCTTCTTATAGAAGTAGATAATAATAAAAAAATTGAGGTAGAAGAAGTCTTAGATTCAAGGCGACACTAAAATAGTTTAAAATATCTTATTCATTCATGCAGATATGATATTAATGAATACACATGGGAGCCAACAAAAAACCTTACAAATGCAATAAAGAAGGTTGAGGCTTTTCATTGACGACATCTATCTAAACCAAGATGAAGAAAAATAAGATCCATGAAAAATAATGACTACTTTTTGTAGAATTCATCTCTAGAAGGAAATATAATATTATATCTATATATATATATATATATATATATATATATATATTTATTCCAATAATTATCTATATGATTAAATAAAAATATATAAAAATAAATTAATTTTATAATATCTTCTAAAGAAGCTTTTTAGAAGCCTTATAGAAATCTTTTTGACTTTATACATTGTTGTATAGAGGGATTTTCTATTTGAGAATACATTGAATATTTAGTTGTAGAGAGTTTTGCTTTAATATATTAGCCAAGTTTTAATAAGTGATATATTCTTATTATAAAAGATAAATAAATATAATAATATCAAAAGATATTTTATTAATAAATATTCTTTTATATTTAATATTTTTTGTATATAAGGCTTCCTAAAGCATCTAAAAATGTCCTAACATCCTTTGCTATATTAAATCATAATTAACTATTTGCCAATAAGTTAGATTTCTTATATATCCAAAAAAAATTCATAATCTTCCTACAAAAATCCACCTTTATATCATAATTTTTCCATAGCTCTATATCTCCATCTTTCACATATATATAAAGTATTGGCTCCTAAAATCTCTTTTACTTTACATAAAATATCCAAATTATAGCAAAATCCTTTCAAAATATTTTTCTTCCATAAAGATTTTTTTTTTCTCTCGTTGAATTTTAGAAATATCATATCTCTTGATTCAAATATTTAAATTTGCTCAAATTTCTTGAAAATATTTTATTTATACTTAAGCTTTACTATAAAAAAATTAAGCTATAAATCTACTACAGATCATTTGGTATCTTAGAAATTCTATCAAGTACTCTAAATCCTAATTTACAAGCATTAGAATACTATTCTCTTTACATCTCAAAAATAAAAAATCCAAATACCAAAAAAATTATATATAAAATTTAATAACATAATAATACATATTTTTAGAAATTTTTAGCTAATATCTTATCAAATTATCTGAAATATAGCTCAAAATATAACCATTAGTAAATTAGGTTACTTACCGCCTTTAGATTGCAAGTACTATCTTGAACTTTCTATATCTTCTTCATCTTAACTTAGAACTTATTAATCAATATTTTCAAAAAATTTAGCCAAAAAAATACTCTTTCTAATCTTAATTGCTAATCTTTTATTGCTTCTTGTACGTGTGTATTATTTCTAAAAGAGTGATAGTAGATACAAAATCAACACTTTAACTTTGAGTGCCTTTTGAGTGTCTCTTTTATCTAAATTCTAAATCATACAAAATTTACACCAAAAATATAGCCAAAAATCTCAAATTTTTTACTCTAGCCTTTTAAATTCAAATTTTCTTGAAACAATAATCCTAATTTCTAATAAGGCCTCAAGCAGCCTCCTTGAAGCCTATTAGATATGAATTTTGGCCAACATAAATGGAGATTTTTATCATCTATTTCTATTTATCCTTATGGTTGATTTAAATATTCTCTTTTATATAAAAATCCTTCTTTAATTTTTTTTTTAACAAATTTTATATAGTATGTATTCTAAACACCAAATAAAAGAAACAAAATAAGATTTTAAGAGTCACTAATGTCTAATAAAGGTAGCTCTCACTACATTATATACTAAATATATATGTACATTATTTTTATATGATAGCTAAACCACAATATGATAACGTGTTTATAGTTGATTGATAGATTAAAAACTTGGTCAATAAGTTAATCACATGCTACATATGTTGATAGCTTGCGGAACAAGCAAACTATGTGCTGTACATATAATAAACTTACCTCGCAAGTTATGATATATATCTTGTAAAGTCAACATGTATTGGAGGTCTTATGAAATATCACCATATAGCTCTTAGTTAGATAATATATATAGAAATAAGAATAAAGCCTTCTTCATTCTTATCAATGCCTTTGTAGTCTTTAGTCTTGTTTCAAGATTTTTTAATCTTCTTGCCTTTAGTAATAGCCATTGTAGTTCAATATATTATCTTCTTTGAGTGATTTTTTAGTATTTTTAAGTGAAACAAGAGTGTATTGAAGATGTCTTTTATTAAGATTCATATCCTTGACATCTTGTGCCATTGAAAAAACATAAATAATCATTCAAAGATGGTATAATATTAAGACTAAAATGACTATTATCAAAGACAAGAAGACTAGAGATTCTTGAAAGAATATTATTAATAAGAAAGGTATTGATAAGAGTGAAGAAGACTTTACTCTTACTTCTATATATACTATCTAATTAAGAGCAATTTGGCGACATTCTATAGGACCTCCGACATGTGTTCAACTTATAAGATATATATCTAATCTGCAAGATAAGTTTCTTACATGTGCACCACATGGCCAACTTATAATACAAGTTACTAAAAAGTACAACATGTGACCAATTTTTGGACTAAGTTTTCAATCTAACAATCAACTACAAATATGTTTAAAGTCAAATCCATATTTGTGAAGCTTCTAAAAAACTTGTCCATGAAATATTATCATATTTATCTATATTTTTTTTCTAACTAAAATTTTAAATCTAAATAATTATACATCTCTGTGATACTATATAATTATAATAAAATTCATGCATTAATAAAATCAACACAAAATTTAAATTTTTTGAATAAATATTTTTTATAATTAAAAAAATCATAATTATTTAAATTTAGCATATTAAAATTGATAGTATAATATTAAAACATCATCCATAAACAAATATTAAAATTTATAGTGATATTTAAATTGAGCATATTAAAATTGATATTATTTAAAAAAATTAAAACCACATTATTTAAAAATACAATTTTTGTATTAAATTCTTGTAAGATGTTATTTAATTTTTTATAGAAAACCTTAAAAGTTGAAAATAATTATTGAAATAATATGGATTCTTTTAATAATTTAGCTTCACAATCATATTAATTTTTTTTGATATTTGTCTTACAATAAATTCTAAAAAATTTCTACATTGATAAGTGTTTTTAAGGTAGACAAACTCATCCAACTCCTTTAAGACTAGTTAAATTTACATTGTTTGTGTATGTATTTAATATTAATACACCAAGATGTTTGCATACATTAGCATCAAGAAAATACTTTTTTCTTGTAGAATATTAGTATTAAAAATATCAAATGCAATGTGAACAAAGTAGACAATCAATCAGGACTGCAAAACACTGCATCATAGTTCAGCAGGAGTTCAAAAGAATAGATAATACAGAAATGTATTTGAAAAAGAGAACAAGCTATGAATCAAAATAAAACCTGGTCGAAATCCAGACACACAACTATCCCAAACAGTACTTGATACATTTTCCAGTAGATTTGTGTGTGCAACGATAACTTAAGAAAACAGACATTCACAAGACAATCGATATACTTGTACCACGCTTCCACCCACAACACTGGAATGCACGTAACATATACAAATTTACTACTGTTACAAAGCAATTAAGTCAAGTTTCAACAAGCTGGGCAAGTTCTCCCTACGGAAAAGTCCTTCACCACACTGATTCTCCTCCATATACGCCGTACTGAACTTAGCTATACTAGTAAATGGTACTCAGACATTTTCAATAGAACATATACATATAGGGCATTGCTAAAGCGACACCCCAAAAGAAGTTGTGGTTGCTTACATCGCGATTCCAATAGATACACACACTCCCACAAACTACTTTTACATTTTATTTTATTTTTTATTTTTTTGGTTTTTATATATTATTATTATTTTTGTGTTTGCTGTTGCTACAGAGAATACTTATCCAACCACAATGTTTCTCAGTAATGACTAAGTTGCAGCCCATTAGGCTGCGATGATTGAGAACTTATATGAATTCAGGTGGTGATTGAAGAAGGTGAAGCTCAATCACCACTGCAAGGTCCGAGGCCTGTTTCCATTTCATTCTCAGGTGCGAGACGGTCATTCGGAAGCACTGGGGTTGGTTGTGGGGGCAGCGCTTCTGCACCTCCGTTTTCGTTGAGGGGTTAAGTTCACGTCAAGGGAATCTGCATCATCAGTGGAGGGGCCACAAGCTGTGTCCGACCAAATCTTTAGTCGCTTTCCGAATTTATAAAACACGAAATCCCTCTGATCAGCCAGAGTTCTCACACCCCAAGCTGCTTCATCATGGTCTCTAGGAGGAGGCACCTGCATTGCCTCTGAACAGACAAACATGCTGCATAAGTCTGACGTCGAAGTTTGATTGATTTAAGTTCAGCACTCTTGCGAGTACTGTCTGTGACTATTATCAATGACATAAATCACTCTTCGATCGTGCTATCCCATACATTACAGTAGTAGAATTGTCAGGCGGGTATAGCTGAAGTGAGAACCACCGTGCAAATGATAATACTGTTGTCTCAAAGTTAGGGCTTTATTCTAAGAGGTCATTTACTATAAAGAGCTGTCTCCTAATCTACTTTAATAATGTTTTATTTCGCCAGATGTCCAGATGTGGTCAGTGTCCAGCGTTGGTATAAAATTGAGCAGGAAAACCATTCATGAAGTCTGCATTTAACAATCAAAACTTTCGCTTCCTTCGAAGCTGCACTGCTTTCATTCATCAAGCATGAAGAATCAATCATTTAGCTACTTCTATGTTATTGGTGCTTGGCAGATTGAAAAGTTCGCAGTCCCTGATCAACTTGCAAGGGTGGTGGCTTTACTAGCCCAGTTAGCTGAATCTACCTGCAGGTTGTTGCGGCTAGACAAAGAGGGGATAATCGAAAAATTGATAGTCTGTCAACTGCGCCACCAGCTGGTTAGATTTCTGAAATGCAGCAGGCAGGCTCAAACCAGCATCCAGCATTTCGATCAGGTCCTTCCTCATGTAGCGGTCCATCTTTATCACTGTCTGCAAGACCCCATGAACTTCATTAACCCTCACCGACACATCCCTTGCAGCATGAAGTGCTCACACACTTCTCAGGATCCACAGATAACACTCTAAGTACCCACTTTGATTTTCCGGGCACCGTCCTATTACGTAGACGCCGACCGACTAAAACCTAGATGGATTGTAATGAGCAAAGGGGTCACAATGAAAACTGTGTCGTTCACATACTGTGCTGCCGTAACTCCTTGGATTGAGAAGCTGAGCAGTCAGGACCAAACACACAAGCATGAACCGCCAGTTAATCAATAATCAAATACGACGATGCGCCTGACAACACACTTGAGCGCCAAAAGGACTCACCGCAGGAAGCTCAGGCGAGCGATGCTTGGCTCGGATTGGCATGCGCGTTGCCGGCGAAGAAGCGTGCTCTAATTGGTTTTATGCACTGCAAGCCTATGACGAGAGGTTCAAGCACGTCTGATCGAACTGGTTGTGAGAACGTTTTGAAGAAGTGGCAATGACCTAGAAGTATTTGAGGAATAGACGCGGATAGTCTGTAAACCTGGTGCAGGAGGTTCACTCAAACCCACCCTTTCTACAACCACTGGTATGCACTACTTCAGGGTATCAAGAGATCGATCCACTCTTCCACTCACACGAATTCAAACCCTTAACAACTGTTGCCGGCCTCGCTCATTAGCAAAGAGGGTACGATGCAGTAACCTGTGGATTACGTGGAAAGGCCTACGTCGACTTCAACTGAAGCGTTTGTTTCGGTAATACAAAACGAATACCGGTACAGCCCTCAAATGATAGGCCTGGACATCAATTCGTTGAATTTGGTAAGGATCTCCATTCTTTAGGGGATAAACATGATGTCCTCCCCCGGTAGCCAGGTTCGAAACGTGTTGTGCTTCAATTGGCTTCCAAGTAGGGAAGTTAAACCACTGAGATAATTCCATCTCTCCCAGGTGCATAATCTGATGAGTGCAATAAAAGACTGCCCGATAATGTAGGAGTCTCGTGGACAAGTGCTCGTAAGTTGAATCCCGACTTTGGAACATTTAATGATGTTAAAACTGAAGTTGAGGAGATGATAGGTTCAATGCAATCTGCTTTCCTTTAACTGTGGCAAAAGAAAGACGTCCAGTACAACCTGTTCACACGGTTTACTTTTGAACATATAACAACTTAGAATGCCTTCACAAAGTTCAGTGATGTTCGAATGCGGTAATAATCCTTGAATTGTTTTGAATATCAAAAGAACCACTAAGCCACTCAAATGCTCAGTGAGGGAAAGAGGTAGATGCGAGGAATCTAGAATATTCTCATGCTACCTCGCACCATTTCAAAACTTTATTAATTAAATAGTTGATTAGTATCCCCCCCCCACTGATAACCAGTCAGAAATAAACAGTTAAGTTGAATTCGTTAATGCATGGTAAATCTATAAAACGATTGAAAAGATAAATATATATATATATATATATATATATATACATAGAAAGATTGCATTTTTATTTTGATTATAAAATTCTATATTTATATTTTATCAAAATGGAAAATAAAAAATATTAAGATACTAGGAAGTACATCAGGCTTCAAACCTCAGTCCCTCACATCGGGTTTTAAGTTGAAGCCTGCATGAGATACAAGACCGCAGTCATCTCGATAGTTTAGAAGCCACGCCTGTGAGGTGCTCTCATGTACTCCCGTGGTTGATGTTAAGCCGCAACGTGTGACTCCCACTGTATCATATGGACAGCAACAAAGCTATCCAACATCAAGGTCTAAAATGCGAGATCGTCTGCTGCAGTAAAGCACACCCCTACATAAGCAGAGGACGCCAGTTAAGGGATTCGAAGTGATCTCCTGACGGCTAACAACAGGACTCGAATCCAGTTTGTAAGCACTATGCGACTGGAATGAGTAATCAACTTGTGGGCACCTTTATCTTATCAACGGCAGGCTGTTCTTGGTAAAGGTCACCTCTGATTTGGACCAAGGCCGTTATTCTATTCCTCTCCCACTCATCAAGATGATGTACACTGCCTTCTGCGAAGTCATTTATGTTCCACTTCAACAAAGGAGTCTACTTGTCCTCGTTCTCGAATCGCTGGAAACTAGTCCTTGAGAACTCGCGGCTGCTCTCTGCAACTACTGAACTTAGATGGTGCTAGTATCTGAATCAGAATGTGATGTGGATGCTCACGCTTGAGAATATTACCAAAGGAACTGCATATACATGGTATTAGATTCTGACGTCGAATATGACAAGGATTCACATGGTTGACAACATGATCGAAGGAACTGCAGATACAGAATTGTTCTACAAAGTTGAACTTCCTGTGTTGTATGCTTGCCATCTAAGCCAAAAGAGTTGCGAAATCTGGTAACCTCAATCAGAGAGTCGCTCAAGGTTGACATCGTGGTCAAATGACTGGGACAACCGTACAACTTCAACCGGAAGGGAGAAAGGCGAAGTTTGGTATCACAAAAAAATGAGCACCCAGATTTCCCTTCCCTGAGGAAAAAAACCGCCACAGGAACACAACTCACACAACTGAACGAGGTAGGAAACCCAGTTTGATATATGCCAAGTTGTACAACTTACCTTTGTCGTAGTTTGGGGAGCAATTTCTACAATAGGTTCTGCAGTACTGATTGATAATCATCGTTGCGGATATCTGGCTCACCTGTCTTGTTCTGCCCATTTTCATTTCAAAAGACACCCTGTAAAGATGCTTCGAAACCGCGTGGGAAGATTCACACTTATCTCGGATGGCCTTTCGTCTCCGGCATCTCTCGTGTGAGCACACCATCTGTTGTTCATTTTCTAGTTGCTCTCCAACGTTTCAGCACTTTTCTTCGACATGTGAGCAGCTTTTCTTCCAATCAACGGACAACGTATTCGCACGGAGTTGGAGGTCCCGCGTGAACAGCAGCTCTTGAAAGTTGTTCGCATGATTAGAAGATACTTTGGCCCTACCTCTATTCAAAGAAGGTTGGCCCGGGGCACACGTTTAATTTACGTGCCCATAAATCCTGGCAGTGCTATATATATATATATATATATACATACATACATGAGAATATAAGGGTTCGAGGTCATAGGCTGAGAAATCGTGCAGCGAGCTAGCGGTTCTTCATGAGGCGACACGACTTCACCCACTCCCATGCAGTTTCTTAATGATCATGGGATCGAAACTACGTGTCCTCTAAACTTGCATCATATGCTCCCACTGTGACAGATGCGAGTACATTGAGCTGGAAGTCCTAGATCCGGTGTCATTACTGTACCAGTCTGCTTCAAAGCCTCTTGGGTTTCATGAGCATTACAAACAATCTTCAACCACTTCTAGTATTTTAAACAAATCATTCTTATTCGTAACACTGTTTGTGTGTATATATATGTACTCTTGTGTGTATCTAAGAATAAGAATAGATGTATTTGAGAGAAAAATACTAATAAATATTATTAAAAAATTAAAAATATGATTGTACAATTGAATGATAAATAGGAGCCTCACTTTGATTTGGACCAACTTAGTACTATTAGAATTAATAGAATTATAAAAAAAACATATACTCATAAAAATATGAATGAATTTTTATTTTTTATTTAAAGTTACTAGTGTAAACATATAAAATAAAATTTCAAGAAAAAATATAATAATTTATTATAGTTGTTTATCAATTATCTAAGGGCAGAAAAAATTAAAAAATTAAAAATTTGTATCTATCACTATTAATTTTAGGATTGTTAGATAAATTAAAGCAAACAAATATCTTTTTAGAAATCAACTTCAGATCTATTTAGAACCAAGTTAGAAACAAAGAAGAAAACCAATAGAAGACAACTTTAAACAACGTGTAGACACTTTGAATAGTAGTATTCTTTTATTCTTCAATAACTTTATACATGATAAATAATATTCTCAAAGAATATGTAGACAACCTTGTGAACATTGATTTAAATAACCTTTTGAAGTATTCTAAGAATGAAGAAATTTACAAGTTCTACATGCATTTGGTATTCAAAAAACTACAAGGATTAAGATTACATAAAAAACTCAAATTATTATTTTTAAAAATATGTTTAATTTATTGATAAAATTAACTAAAATAAATATGGATCTTAAGAAATTTCAAGCTAGTATTAGATTGAATAAATCTTTATTAATTTATAGTATTTAAAATATTTTTAAAATTTCAAGATTTCTTCATTTTTTTCATGATTACTTTATTAATCATTGTTTTAAAGTGACAACCTTATTAACATGATTTTAAAAAATAAAAAAATAAATTAATATGATATAAAAAGGTCAAGATAAATTTTAAGATACTAAAAGATATTTTAGTGTCAATATCTATAATTAAATATGTAGTTCCAAAAAAAACATTCTTCATAGATATAGGTATATTTGATTTTGCACTTAGTTCACTTCTTTCACATTATAAAGAAAATTACAAACTTTATTATTTTTATATATATCAAAACTAACTATTAAATTTATAATAAAGAAATTTCGAATATAATTGATGTTAATAAAGAATAATATCATTTATTTAAAAGAAATAATATAAAATAATATATATATATATATATATATATATATATATATATATATATAAATAAATAAGTTATACAAACTTAGAATATTATATAAGTATAAAAATTTTAAATAATTTTTTTTTCAAATATATTATAAAATTATCTTGATTTAATAATTTGATTATATATTTTTATAACTTCCAAAAAATATTAGATTTTTTTACAAGTTATTTTTTTAATCTAAAATCAATATCTAAATATTTTTAAAAAAATTTAATAAAATTAAATTTTAATATAATATCAATATCAGATTTTAGCTAAAATAATAAAAAAAAATTAGAACAAATAAAAAAAATCTTAAGGTTTTTAATAATAATAATTTTAAATCCAAAGATAGTTTTTTTTTACTTTAATAAGTTATTATATATATTCTTAAATTCTATGTACTTTTGAATTGCTTAAGTATATCATGACCTCATTCAAAGATATTTTGGTTTTAGTAAAAAAAATAAAAATAATTATCTAATATTTTTAATAATCACAAATATAATAAATTTATGATTATATGTTCATCTAATAATTTATAGTTTATTTATAAAAAAGTTTGCCAAAAGGTTATAATAGCCAAAAACTTATCAATAAATAAGAGAAATTTGGCACAATAGTTGATTAATGCATCCAAAGAGCCATATCTTGTTTTTGAACTAGTATTGGACAATTTATAGAGACACAATGGCACCAAGTTACTACCAACCTCAATAGAACTATTAACTCTCTTATTCTTTATATAAAACAATCTATAGTTAAGGTATGTATTTGGAGTGACTATGTGACTTGGTAAAACTATTGACATGCAAAGTGCTACTACTCAAACAATTAATCATCCAATTAAGAGAGAGAGCCTCAAAGTCCTTCTAATGGCTTTTTATGTGCCTAAGACTTTTTTTAAAGCACTAAATTTATATATATTTTTTGCCGTGCTACTAGTAGATATTGAAGTATATTTTACCACTGCAATTTTGTAAAATATTCTACTATTGTGTAATTGTGCTAATATGTAATGGCGCAACTTTGTTTGGAATATTTACTAATATCACTATGGCACTAAAAAAAAGATTTATAATTTGTGTGTTCTTCTAATATATGAGCAAAAATCTAAGGCATCAATTTAATACTCATTTTGGCATTCTATCTATTTTACAAAGATCATGGTTTTTAAAATTAATAAATTTTATTAGATAATTTAAATTTCTAAAAATAATCTTCTTAAATCTTATCAAATCTTGTAGATATTTATCTTATTTTTTTATTGATTTTTAAAAATATTAAAAATATTTTAGTTTTATTTTATTTTATTATTTTATAATTGTCTAAAAACTTCTAAGAAACTTCCATAATTTTCTCTGATTCCTTAGAATTTTTTAATAGAAATTTTTTATACTTCAAAGAGATTCTATAATTCTTAGAATCTCTTCTATTATTTTTTTATTTAAAAAAAGAATTTAAGTCCCAAAGTATAAATAAGGGATCAATATGCAAGAAACTGTAATCTTATCTAGACAAATTTTGAAGCAATTCAAGGATTGTCTTTTGTCCAATTGTTTATCTAATCTTTTTTCTAGTATAGTATCTTGCTTCTTTTGTAATTCCTTATCTCTTGGTCAATATGTGAACTTGACAGCTATTAACACAAAACTCGAAAAATAGTCAATCTCCACTTTGACAATTTCGTCATGAATTACAGAATATCCTTTGTAGTTCATGACGAATTGTGCATGGCAGGTATTGTACATAGCTGTGCAGATTCTCTACCGATACAGAATTGGTTAGATGAATGCAATATGACCTTCGATGGAGACTAACCCTTGCCACTAAAATATGCGCAGTGAAGCTCCATGTTGCTCCTAAAGGAACTATTCCACGACGAAGCCTCAAAAAACATTAAATCTAACATCTATTTGTGTGACAACGATCTCACGGACTTGGCGTTGGAACTAGTCATTCCTTCCCTGACCTACACGTGTTTTCCAGTGACCTCCGTCTCATTGAAACTAGTACTTTCCAGCTCGCTCGCTGTCAATTTGTTCATACTACGTACTCAGATGACTAGCAGGCGTCGAAACAACGCCTGCTAACTTTGCATGATGAGACTGAAGCTGTGTTGTAGTTCACACTGCAACGGCGGTTTCACAATTAGTACATAACCGAACCCCTCCTCGCAAGAATCCGCGCTGAATCTCCCCGGGTGCAGGGACACAGTTCATGATACAGTGTTTTCAATTCTCAAAAAATTCTGCTTCCCGGGCACATGACCAGCTTTTAAAACTGAGAGGCTCTCAACGGAGGAACATAATCTCGTGCAGCTTTAAACATCGGTAGTCGTTGCTCTACGCTTACTCGTTGCCGGGAACCTGGACGGAAACGAGGAAAGCAAGAGGAGAAAGAAGCGGCAAAGCAAAGAGATACCCTTGAAAGTTACGAACCCCACCTCATAATAAGGAGCGTGCCGGATAGAGCTGGCCTCTGACATGTACCTAAATGCTACGGCCTTTAGCTCCCTCGTCACTGGACCGCTGAACAAAGGAATCATTCCGTAATTAAAATATTCCAGATGCATGTCTAACCATTAATGACCACCAAACAATTGCAACGTGATTTTGAAGTACAAGTAAAGCTGCGGTGTCGTTCTCTTCCTTGTGACGTCAAGGGTTAATTTTAGGCCAGCTCAACACATTGCCGAGACACTCGGCGAGTTTGTCTTGTTCCGACACGGATGAGTCTTGTCATACACATCCAATATGTGTTTCGAACAAAGAAAACGTTGTCCAGATGAGGCCGGTTACAGGTTGAGTGCAAGCTCGAGATGAAGTAGGAGACTGCTAGTATGGCAACTTCGGGACGGATGTTGAACATAGGACCTCGGCAACCAGCTGTGGTAACTGGTCGGTGTTGAGCGCACTCGTTCGCAGTAGTGTCGCACCATGGAGACCCTTCGATTCCTTCGGGGTTGTTTGTGGACCTGGGGCACACGCAGTTGGTGTGATGCCGTTAGACGGGTTGGTAAGTCTTGTGATTGCAGCGCCGAAGGCAGAAACTACAAGGGCCGCATGAAGTGTGCACTCCTCGTTCAATCGAAGGACCTAGCTCATGTGAGCAGTTCGACCTTCCTTCACTTCAGATTGATGAAGTTGAGCCTGAGGTGCTTCTTGACTATGCGAGCATTCCATTTTACTCATGCACGCGACATCACCTAATCTATGTATCCAGGTATGCCATGCACAACCTGGACTGATTAGTGACGCTTAGTATTGGCATGTTGCTTGCATGGACAGTTATACATCGTTCCTATGGATTAGTCTGGTATAACATCCGTTTGAATGAGGCAATGATGAGTGCGACTAAGATTTTTTTTAACCTGGTAATTACTAAAATAGATTCAATTGATGCCAAAGATATAGTCCACCACCTGCACCCCCCCATGATGGAACTAAATTGTTGATGCAGCAAATGCACATGTCGTTTCTATACTAGTGTAAAGACTTGTTGTTTGCGGTTAATTAATTGCACATACTGAAGTTTGATGCCATGTTCTGATGAATCCGGTCTTGATTCCTGAAGGAAAGAAACATGAAATTGCCGCTGTGGCATCTCTACATGGCATCAAACGTCAGCATGTGTAAATAGTTAATTGCACGACACCAGAAAATACATTGAATTCTTTACTGGCATTTTATGAGTACTCTGAACAAGGCATTCCAGGTTTCTAGAAGAGATTTTATTGTTGTAAGCAAGAAGAGTTATTTATTGTTAGTTTTTATCCTACTAGCATGCACAACTATTAAGCGACCTTTGATAAAAACATCACTGATCACAAAATCTTATCAATGGCGACGTATGGTTTCTGTCAGGCTTGCGGTTTATTCTATGGGGCGGTGTTCCTTAGACTACGCAGAATTTGCATAATCTGTAGCGAAGACGCGTCAAGATAGAGGATCCTGAAAAGGTAAAACGGATATTCATGTTTAACAGACATGCTTTGTTTCCTAGAGAGCTGCATAATCATTGAATTCCAAATCAGATATTATTTCTAAGGCAAATTTAAGTGATAAACCAGAATAGAAAATATAAATAATTCTTTGATTCAGGTAACTAAAATTCAACCATGACTCATTGATGACGTTCTTGTGATGCGAACAGTACGTCACACCTGGTAACTTCCAAGTTCTGATCATGGTTCTCTAATCTGAATTGTCATTTTTTAGAAATATTTCACTATAGGGATGGATCACTGGTAGAAATTATTATTTAGTCAGAAAGCATCAATATCATTTTTTTTTGACGTAAAAGCACTTGATTAGTTTTTCAAACTCATACTCGTTTTTAAATCTCGAACTGTTCAGTTTTACTAGAAGTCAAATTTTTATGCTTATTGAAAGAATTGTTATATGGTTAATTTATCATCAAAAGAAACATGAACATTGTATCATGTAAAATCATTTTAAATAGTACCTATATGATTATTTATGTATAAATAAATTCACATTAATTTTAGATCATATTGTAATACTGCTTTAAACTTTCTATATTCAGAAAACTTGGGTAAAAGGTGTACCTTGCTTATTATAGGCTGTGGGAAATAATCAGACATGATTGCTTCATTCGTGAAGAATTTTCTCACGTTTCAATTCTCATACTTTGCTTTTTCAACCTTGAAGGGTAGTGAGCCATGTGTCGAGAACAAATTCTGGTCGTGCCACTTTAAGTGAGATGTTTCTTCTCCTCTGATAAGCTTTGAACCATAAATAGCTTGAATGACACACAGTGGTCGGCAACAGGTATACTAGTGCAAATCAACTATTACTTCTTTCGGTGTTTCTGAGAAATCTAGATTTGTGTTGCTGATACACAGACGACAGATTCAGAAGAACTATAACACTACTTACCTTCTATCCTTCAGCAGGAAGAGAGGAACGCGCAAGTTGTCTAACCCGGGACTTGGTCCTTTTCATTTTGGGCTCATTTACGTATGACTGGTGCGAGACCCAAGGAACGCTGGGTAAAAAGGAAGTTCAAGAGCTATTACGAGAATAAAAGAAGACGTAGGCCGTGAAAAGTTTCATCAAGAGTTATGGAATGGTTAAATGTGTCTGTAGCCCCGCTAACGGCGAAGGTAGACAAGGGATCGAGGAGATTACTTTTAGAAGAAGACAGATTTGAAAGGTTTAGAGGGTTGGCAGTGTTGGAGAGGCAATTGAGTGAGAAGAGTTCGTTGTTTAGGGTGCGAAGTGCTAGAGCTCAGAGAAGTGCATTTAATCGTTCCAATACCTACTTGGGCTTCCGCTTCGTCGTCGTCTGCGTACGCTGCATTTCAAAAGTCGATGAGACGTCACGCGAAAGCAGTCCGTGCTCATCCTCGGTTGCTTCACTCTTCTTTCTCAACCTGTGCTACTGCATTTGAGGTAATTCGAATCGGCCTTGTCGGTAGACACGCCGACTGCCCTTGCTGTAGTTAACAGACGTTTTTTCTGAGCGGCCTCTCATCATCTAGTTGACAAAAAGTTATCCATGAACGCAAAAAACAGTTAATACTTGATAGTTGAAGACAAGAAGCTGTGCGTTTTTTAGGCTCAAAAGAGTAATGTCTGGGGTTTGTTGGTATCGAGCAACTGTTTGATGTCATACAATGCAATTTAGGCATTTCACCAATTTCTTTCAGTTTTCAAAGGTTGGTTGGAGAATTGTATGAACTCTCTTTAATGTTTGAAAATTCTTTGTACTATTAACTCTTTCTGCTCTTAAAAGAAGTTAGGTCCCTAAGGAAGTTCTCTAAGTGGGTGCTCTTTGATGAGATTAAATTTCAAAGCGACAATCTTGTAAGTACAACCTTGTAAATTAGAAGTAAATACCTAGAAAAGAGTTTTCAGAAGAGTACAAGAATGATACGCGAGCGATCAGGTTTTCTTAACGGTTTAATCATCCATGATTAGGCTTAACCAACTGTACATGATATCTGAATCTTTATCAAGCAGTTTGTATAGGTATCTCAGACACATTTGCTCACAATAGATGGAGCATGGTGCGGACGCGAACGTGGTAGCATTGAACGTTGCCAATAATCCAGAGATTCGTCCAATCGAGGATGCATTGGATGAGCCTTTAGTACAGTTACATCTATTTCCACTGATTCCTGGATATGTTGATGATGTCATTTATCCAGAAAATCGTCCTATCCGAAATCAAGATCAAGGTACTACTGAATTTGATTTCAAAGTGGGTTTTAGGAGCTACTGTATGTCACGCTAGAGATATAGCGCACTAATTTGGATTTTAGATAGTTACTCTGAAAGTGTCCTGTATGCAGCTGGTTTTCCTTCTTGTTAAGGCGAATCGAGACGTGGTGATGTAACGTAGTACAAGGAATGTTCGTCCGTTCGTGTTTTGAAATCCATTTGAACATGCATGTGTTCTCTATTTTTCAGTCTTTCATGTTCTGAATCATGCATCGTTAGAACACCTTATCCATGAGAAATTTCATTAACAAAGTAACCGTTCATTGATTTCAGTGGATCCTATCAATCTCGAGGATTTTCAGAGGAATTTATTTGAGTTATTTAATGTTCGAGAAGGTCGAGTTGATGGCACTGCACAAACTGTCGAAGTCGCGGAGGTCATAGAGGAATCTGATGACGACAATGAGTATGATCTCCCGGCTCAGAGGGTCTCTTCGAATAGGTTGAACGCTCTTCACCAACCGGGGTCCAGCAGCATCTCCCCTCAGATCTAATAGCATCTGATCTAACATTGTTCATCAGTTCTCTGAACGATACTGACCTGAACGAAATTACACATCGTCGAAAAGTAACATGGCTGCAGACTGCAGGAGATCAAACGATTTCGAAATTTCTGGAATCTTTTCAAGTAATTCTCAAAGGCTTACTCTTAGTTACCTCGTTTAATAATCTGATAGTATAAATGTTTATGGCCACCTGGTTGTTTATGTAGACTTTCATGGTATTATCAATTACAACCCATGGCCCGAGTTAGAACTTTTTTCTCCCTGATTAAAACTAGCATTTATTGTTCTAGCAGTTTTGACCTTTGGGTTGTTTCACTTCGGCTTTCGAACCGTGTCGTGCATCCTCTAGTAACGCGTGATTTACTAGTGAAAAGTATAACTTCTCCTAAAGATATACGTGTGGATTTTTGAATTAAAGTTGTTCACACCTGTTATCTACGTGTATAGTGCTTTGTTGTATAGCTCCGAAACAAAAGGTTATGGGCTCTAGGCTTCAAACCTGCACATGACTGATTAGATTGCTGATTACATGGTTGCATATCAAAAGTATTATTCATCGCAGTATTCTGTACATAGTTGTATTGCTCAATTAGATAAGCTAGCATCTTCTGTTTACTACTTTCACAGCAGTTTCTTGAAGTTCTTGATTTCTTGTTTTCTTGATTTCAATTTCACTTTCTTCTTACGTTTTCTGTTTTTATAAGAATTTTTTTCTTCTCCTCATCTAGTCTTTCTTACATTGATCACTATGTCCATCGAAAAGGACTTAATAGGCATACAACGTTTTAACGGTTCTGAATTCCATCTTTGGAAATGGCAACTCAGAAACCTCTTCCGTGCCAAAGGCTTTATTCCACACATTGACTGTACTGATAAAAACGACTCAGATGAACAATGGAGGGGAGAGACTATAATGCATACACGCTCCTTATTTCTTCAATTGAGAGAAAATTCCTTGCTCCTTTAACTAGTTGCTTAACTGCACAGGAAGTTTGGGATAGGCTTCTGGAGGAACATGAACACAAAACTAGTGAGAACATTCATGAACTGAAGTGTCAGTTCTTCAATGCTCAATTAGAACAAGGACAATCCATGTCTGATTTCATTGCAAAACTTGAACTCACTATGAATGAACTTCAAGAGTTAGGTTATACATCTTTCTCTGAAGCTTTCATGATATCGAAGCTCACAACTAACTTACCTACGGGATTCGATGCATTCATTACTACATGGAAGAGCACTCATAAAACGGATTGTATTCTTGCTAATCTTAAGCGGAGGAGAAGAAGATTATGAATCGCTTACATGAAGATGCTGCTTCTCATTCTAAAGCATTTTACGTTAATCGTCCACAGTTTCCTACTTCTGGAATTCACAGAATTTCACAGACCAGTACGAGCCTCTACCCGTGTGGCTACTCTACCACTATGCCTTTTCATGGTACATATAATAACTCATTCTCTCCTTCTGCTATGCAATATCCTAATTGGTTTCCATCTTCTAGAGCTTCTGGATCTCTTCTGAGGCAACCTTCATCATTTTCAGATCGCAATCAATTGACTCGTTCACAAACAAACAGAAGTGTTGAAATAGCAGATCTAAAACGTAGAACGAGATGTAACAATTGTGGTATTCCTAGGCATTGGTGGCAAGAGTGTCCACACATTTTTCAAGAAAATTTCAATCGACCTTCTATTTCACAAACTGGATTTAGTACTCAGGCTTCTTTTGCTGAGTCTTTGGACTCAGTTCAACCAAATTTTTATCAACAACGTTTATACCCCGATATGGAGCATCATTTTACATTTTCAACTATTGATAATCATGATGAGTATCAAGATCTTGTTAATCCATACGATCAAGATTCATCTTCTTCGGATTTTTTATATTCCGATACACCACATGCTTACAATGCCGTAGCAACTAGAAATTATTCTGAAGGCTGGATCCCTAATAGTGGAGCTACAGATCATGTGACAGACCAGATTCACTAGTTTGTTAATTATAAGCCTTTGCCAACCGATGCAACATGGCCCATCGAAACTCCTACGATACATCGCTCTTACGTCACAAGTACAAGAGACATCAAGATACTCGTACAACTTCCTCATTGTACTGTTCATTTGCTAAAACAGGTTCTGTACATTCCTAGATTCGGGAGGAACTTATTCAACCTCACCAAAGTTGCTCTAAATCATAATATTTACATTTTGTAAAGACGATACTTGCGAGCTTCTTTAAGATAATAACCTCATCATGACGGGTAGAATGCTTCACAGATCTTATCTTCTTGATTTCACCGTTTTACTACCTTCCGCAATAGCCTTCTACTCAGCATCATTTGGCAATGTGCTTTCTTCAGAAGAGCTCCAAGACCTTCAGACTAGGCATCTTCAGCTTGGTCATTTGCATCATGACATGACACGCAAAATGGACGCTAATGGCTTGGTACAAGGACTAAGGCTCAAAACGACAGAACTTCATACGCTATGCTCAGGCTGCGCATATGGAAAATCTCATCGTACATCATTTCTTAAGAATGTTAATAGACTTAGAGCTACGCAACCAGGTATATTGTTTCACAGTGACAACTGTGGTCCGACGAGCATACTGTCTCATGGTGGCTCTCTCTGCTACATAATGTTTCAAGACGATCATACACTCTACAGGTTTGTATTTTGAATTTCTAAGAAATCAAAAGCTCTAGCATGCTTTCAAAGAGTATGCAAGGTGGTCCTTTGAGACACAAGCGATAAAATACTCACTTTAAGAACTAACAATGTGAGTGAGTTTTGCAGTCGAAGATTTACAGACTTTCTTCACGTAGACGGAATCAAAGATGAATTTACTGTCCCTTATACCCCAAAACAGAACGCTATCTCTGAATGTGATAACAGAACTATCATGGAGGCAGTTCAAAGTATGATTTACTATGCAAAACTCAACCCAGCGTTTTGGGCTGAAGCTGTTGACAATGTCATCTTTTCCTTAAACCGCGCTTGTTCACGTCTTATTCCACATTTGACACCGTTTGAGGCATACACTGGAACAAAGCCATCACTCGCTCACATGAGGCTGTTCGGTTGTAAGGTCTACATCCATGTACCTCACCATTTGCGCAAGAAGTTAGACCCTAAGAGCCGAAGCGGAATTTTTCTTGGCTATTTTGACGCTTCTAAAGGATACCGAATCTGGGATTTACAGTGTCAACGAGTTGTTATAAGCAGGGATGTATTGTTCGATGAACACAACTATACACAAGAAATATCATCTTCAGAAATTTCATCTTCCATTGTGGCTTCTATCGAGGTTCCTTTTTCGAAATCAGAGCATAATCAGCTTCATGAATCTGATCATCCCGTCAATACGACCTTATCAGAATCAGTTTCTCATTCAACTAATTTATCACATTTAATCAAAAGAATTTGTTATCCATTGAAAAACATGGAAGACTTACCTATTCATCTTGATAACGCGAGCAGTGGGAGTAGATTATCCCTTGCAAAAGATGCTATCCCTCATGTTGTTGATCTTGCTTCAAATCCAATTGATCAAGAACAATCATTAGCTTCATGTGCTAGCACAATCAAAGAAACCGTATTGTTCATTCGTATCCTAGTCCTCTCAATACACAACGACAACAACGACCACTTTCACAGTTTGGATACTCAACTAAGGATTAACATTACACATCTGCGAACTCCGTCATGACTCTACCATCTTCAACCTCTTCATAAAACTCAACAAAACATTCTGTTTCTACTTCTGTAATCCCAAAAATCTTATCATGAAGCTCTACGCTCATCCAATTTAATACACTGGCAGAACGCAATGCAAGCTGAGTTTAAATCGCTTCTTGAAAATGATACTTCGGAACTTGCGGATCTACCTTTTGGAAGAAAGGCAGTTAACTGTAAGTGGGTCTATGCTATTAAAACCAAAGTCGATGGCACCGTTGATCGTTTCAAGGCCTGATTAGTCGCTAAAGGCTGTTCACAATAGTATGGAGTGGATTTCACATAGACTTACTCTCCTACTGTTAAATATAACTCAATCCGTCTTGTTCTTGCTGTACCTGGCTGAGAAGACATGCTAATCTGACAACTTGATATCAAGACAACATTTCTACATGGCAAACTTGATCAAGAAATTTTTATGAAACAGGCTCTTGGTATTGAAGACTCGTTTTCTTCATAAAGTCAATCGTTTCAAGAAAGTTGTGTATGGTTTAAGGCAGGCCAGCAGGGCATGGCATGATAGAATCAATGAATTCTTGGCTACCCACAAGCTTAAGAAAAATACAGCCGACTCATGTGTATATCATTTTGAAACAAACAACCAACTCATCGTCGTCATGTTTGTCGATGATGGATTGTGTTGCTGCCAAGATGCAGGACGAATCGATTGAATTCTAAATACTATGAACAATGTTTTCAAAACTCAAGTTAATGACCCAGATATATACGTCGGCTTACAGATCAAAAGGGATTGCTCTTCATGATTAATTTTTCTTCACCAGAGTGCCTACTTAGAAAAAATTCTTTGTGAGTATGGATTCTTCTATTTTTCTTTGATTTCTACTCCTGTTGATTCTAACTCAACCTTACGTCTTACAGATTCTTCTGACACAGACATCATCGACACTTTTCCCATCATCGACACTTTTCCCGTCATCAACACCACTGGTAGCCTTCAATTTGCCTCTAATGGCACTCGTCTCGACATCTCTTATTCAGTCAACAATGCTGCTTGTTAATGGTGGCACCACTTCCCCAACTCTACTTACCGCATTTGCCGATGCTGATTACGCAGCAGATCTCGACGACCGTAAATCTTGCAGTGGATACATTTTGTTTCTGAATGGTGGTCCTATTAGCTAGGGTTTTAAAAAGCAAGCTTGTCTCGTCAATAGTACCACATACTCCGAGTATGTTGCTTGTTAAATGGCCACAAAAGAAATCATCTGGTGTTGAAGAATATTAGCTGATCTTGAGTATCTTCAAGAAAAAGCTACGGTACTAAACTCTGACTCTCAAAATACTATTAGACTTGCCCTTAGTCCCGAATTTCACTCTCGCACTAAGCACGTCAATATCAAGTACCACATGATCAGAGAACAAATCAAAAACGGCGTTCTACAAATCAATTATATTTCCAGGAATGACAACGTCGCACATATATTCACGAAACCATTAGCTCCAGAAATGTTCAAGAAACTGTGCGCACTCCTTATCCCACAACTTGGCTAGAACTCCACTTCTCTACCGAAGTGGGAGTATTACCTCACGTAATCTCAATAGAGAAGTTATCCTTTTAGTGGGAGTTTAGTAACTCGTGATTTACTAGTGAAAAGTATAACTTCTCCTTAAGATATAAATGTGGATTTTTGAAATGAAGTTGTTGATCACACCCGTTATCTGCGTGTATACTGCTCTGTTGTATAGCTCTGAAACAAAACACCTTTGGGAATAGGCAGAACAGTTATTTCAACGAGCTGGATAATTGTAGACGGTCGACATCGCACTTTCTTGATGTTAAATTTTCAGCAGAACGAGGTAATGGTTAAAGTAA